GTGGTACTATTATCACTGTCACAAGAAAGGCTAAAGACAAATCCAAAAGAAAGTGGCGCACCAACAAAAGTAGACATGAATAAATCACTTTGCACATTTGTAGAATAGAAGCGCTTTTGTTTGGATATATCAAATGTAAGATATATTCTTATGAGAAATATATTTTTTACCGTCTAATATATTTATTTCTTAAAAATATACGTATGTTTTAAGGAACATGAAATCATCCATGTGCATTATGCTAGATACCCTTAAAAGTCATACCTTTATTACACATATGTATACAAACAAAGGTAGTCACGTCTTAGTTTTTTATGCATTCAGATCGCTATACCACATGGATAGCTTGTGGACTAAATGATTCGAATGATTATTCCTCCTCTTTCTTTCTTTAAGCTTGCATGGGATGCTTATCTAGTATCAGTACTACTTCGTAAATATCTAGAGGAGTCAGTTAAAATTTCTCATTTCATATGTCCTTTCTCTATCCTTGTCACTAAATAAGAGCTGCGAATTATATGAGAAAAATTATACTCTTTAAATTAAATTTTTTATATAGATATATAAAAATAAAATTCACAATCAAACCAAACTTTTATCACACACTTCAAAAATGTTTATTTACGGGTATTGAACCTGTAAATACTTTCTCGATTATCGGTTACTTCTCTTGCTTGCAATTTTAGGTCAATTTAAAGTCGCTATCAAAGTGACCAAACATATTTATAGCAATTCAAATTGTGGGACCCGCCAACAAGAGTCCAATGCAAGAAAAAATTTGAATGAAAGAATCATACTAATATTTGAGTAGAAAAAAAAAACATGTCATTTAAGAAACCTCTGGGTCTAGCGAAATAACAAATTATCGAAGGGAAAAGAAGTATTTCTTCTCATCAACACTCGCACCGAACCGACCAACCGAAGATCGACGGTTTTTAACAAAAATTTTACCAAAGATTCTCTGGGGCGTCATTGCCCTCTGTGGTGTCAACACACGTGAGCTTTACCATCTTCCCGAAGTGCACGAATGAGACCCCGACACACGTCGATGTGAGAAGCCAAATTTCACACATGTTGCTCTCATAATGATGGTGGTAATTTGCTTTGTGATTTTCGAGGACGGCTATCATAGGCTCGTAGCGCCCTGGCATTGGACAGCGGGGCGAGTGGATGTCAGAACTGATGTGATGTGCAGGCAGAAGGCATGGTAGGTGGTAATGTGCCAGTGTCCTCCCCCGATGGAAGGAATTGAAGGAAGGAATGAAGGAAGCCGAGAGCACGAAGGCCTTCCTTCTTCCCTTCATTCCTTCCTTCATCCTGCTTCTCATTCTGCACCTGATTTGCCCAGCCCCCCTGCCTACGACTTCCCGGTCATGAAGTTCTCCGGTTGGAGACAACCGTCGATCTGGATGCATCGTGGGCCCCTCAGTCGCCCCCGGTGCCCTCTGTCTCTTCCTGTAGGATCGCTGTCCCGGTTGACGGGACGGGTTGACCGATCCGGTGAGCGGTCGCTGTTGTTTCGATTTTCCCGGTCGCGCTCACCGGCCACCGTCTTGCCACCCGGCCGAGCAGTTGCTACGGAGACGGGCGAGCGTACAGGGCATGGGCATCGCTTCACAGTCGGAGGGAGGGAGGGAGGTCACGGTGACAGGGCCAGGTCGCATGCGCGCAAGTTGATGAAGTGGGCGGTTCGATGACTGGCCGACGACGTCGTCGTCGGATGGGAAGTTGTTAACTCCAAGGCGCGTGTCACTTTCCATTGGTTCGGAATGAAGATGACACCACGTCATGCAGCACCCTCAGGGCGTCCGGTCTGCACATGAAGGCGACGACGTCCGGGGCAGCCGCTCGAGGGAAGTCGAAGCTGGCCCGTCGTCGTCGTCGGGAGGAGGAACCCATCGAGCGGGCGGGGATCATAAATGCGGCTGATTTAATGACCACCGGAGTGTGCGTCTTCGCTCACTCGTGGGGCCAATTGACGGACGCTTTTGTCGCCTGGCGCCCAGAAGCAAATCCGCAAAAAGAAGAAATTATTTTCATGTCAACTCCCGCCGCTGAGGGAGGGATGTTCTGTCGCACCGCGACAGATCTGCTGCGGACGTATGGAAAATGTTGTAGCGACGCTGCCGCAAGTCGGAAAGCGGGAGGAAGCCAGTCGCGCCGGGCCGAATCATGAAGTAGGCGTGAGAAGGTACGGAACCGGCACAGATAATCCACGTGACCCACCACTTCAATCAGAGAAGGACCAACGCTGTCCTCCGAGCGGGCAATCTTTGCCCTGAGAGCAGATATCGTCTGTTTTCGCGAAACTCGACCCCTCGCACGTGGCAGTCCAGCAAAGCACCCGCGGGGTTTCCCGCGAAAAGGCCAGAGAGGAGGGAGGGCTCGGCTTGGGCAGTCGGCGGTTCTCTAACTGTTACCCGCGCCGTGCCCCGGTCATGGCCGGTACTGGGTGTACTGTGCTGGTGGTGAGTCCTGGACTGCTCCTGCCGGACGCTGTGCCCTCTGGGAGAATGATCGTCAAAGCCCCAGGCAGGGCTGCGAATCATGTTGGGACTACGGGGGCTTATCGCCTGCGTGATTCGCCAATCACGCAGGCTCAGTTGGCGAGGGCAGATTCCAGCTTTCATGGGTGGCATCTACTGAGATGGAAAGTGGAAGGCCCGCCCCGACCCGACCCGACCGACAGAAGTTGGGTGCTTGTGACCTTTCTGGAGAGTCTGGATAGAGAACGCCCAACTGCTGCCCGCTGCGCAGCTCAGCTCATCTGAGCCCTGAGCCCTGAGCTCTGAGCTGCGATCTGATCTGCAGCTGTTGCTGTTGCTGATCCCCCCTCCTGCAGGGGGGGAGTGGGGTGGAAGTGAATCTCTTTTTCCCAAGAGAAGGGAGCACGGGGTGGAGTAAACTCTGTTCGGTCTGTTTCTGGTTATTCTGATGTGCGTCTGTTCTTCTACTGGGCGGAGACTGGGCCAACTGGGACACAGAGTCATAGAGGGAGGAGTGACTGAGGGGAGGACCCACAGTTGTTGTTTTGCCCGGTAATATGATTACGTATTGCCCTACAAGAAGCGAGGATACGAAAGCGTGGATAAAATCATGTCTGGGCTTGGACCGTAGATGGGGGTTCACACATGTTTGCTGCATGCAACCGTTGGTCTGAAGCTGTGTCTGTTGGAATCCAAGGGGGTGCAACTTCGATGCGGCCCATTAGTGGGAAGGCACTTTTTCTAAAGAAAGAAACATGGAGCATTTACACTGTCAGCATAGCACCCAGGGCACATCATGAACATATAGGTGCTGTCAACTAAAGCTGCAGCTCATCAACCAAAATCCAGATTTGTGCTACACTGGCTCCCTCGCCCCGTACGAATTAGCAGTATGTACGCCAAACTGGTACGTTCAGTCCAACAGAAGATCTTTATTTTACCTCATCTCCGGGACAGCTTGAACAGGGAGCTCAAGTCCTCCCATCTTTCAGACACATGGACTTTCCGCACTAATGGAAGGCACGGAGCATGATTATGTATCTCTGATTCTGTTTAGTGACCATTTATCTCCGAGTGGCATAATCGCGGAATGACGAGGTCATTAATCTCTTCCTCTTCTCTGGAGTCCTTTGTCTCAGAAGCCGGTCATATTCACCTCATAAAGTCAATGCACCTGCGGACCCGAGCTGGAGCTCTAGATCTACGACTCTCCATGGAACTGGTTGTTCAACGATCCCGCATGTTCTCTCTGCATCTATGTCGCAGGAACGCATGTTATGTACACATTGCACTTGCAGTTTGGAATGTCTCGCACTATGATGCGATGACTATGGCCCCACCAGAAACATTCATCAGGCTCCTTGTGGGCATTTTATCTCCAGCACGAAATGCAGAGTTAACTTTATCAACAACAGCCAAAAGTGAACACTCACCCGAGCTACTAGAGAGGGAAAGTTGCGATCAATAACTACAGTGAGGCATTGTTGCTTTGCATCATGTACACATTTGTGAACCCGATGTCGGATTTGTGCCATGAGTGTTTCTCTGACCAGAATCCGAGAGCTTTTGACGATGTAGTCGTAGTCCGTAGTCGCGAGGAGTTCCAGGGCTACCCAAAATCTGCACGTGTAGGTGTGTGTTTTCATCCTGGACGCTGTAGATTCGTGGTAGCCTCATACATGTGTTGACTTCCGCAAAATCTGTCTGGGAGATGAATGTTCTCAGAATGCGTTTGCATATCAGATTTACCTCCCGAGGATCACATGCAAGTACAGGCATCCTCCTAAAGACAACGATCCATTCATTTCTGTACAGTACAACACAAGGGGGATCCATGCGTCTCGAAGAAAACGGCTCGTGTTCGTGGATTAGGTTTAGTCCATCAAGGTGTGTGTCTGCAGTTGTGACAGACCCCGGACGAGGTTCCCTCTACTCTCTGCTGAACTCGAGCGACAACACGTCAAAGCAGAAAGTTCGAGCAGTAATGCCCCGAACTGTTCGCACCCATAATGACCAAACATCACGAAACTCGTGCGATACTCTCCTGCGATAAGTACTGCTGCGCTCCAAGACTCCGACTCTTCGAGTCAAGATTTGCAGCAGCCGCATGGAGCCAATATGATGAGCTAGGCCGGAAGCTGAAAGTACGACTGACGATGTAGCCTTCATCAGACCAAGATGAGAAAAGTGACAATCGAGATTCCTTGGAATTATGTGGTACCAGGGCACGAACTCTCTATCGGGTCCTGGTCACAGCTGTCAGAATGGTGTGCCATGAGAGCACATTCCTGGGATACATCATTCCCCCGAGAAGAAGGGAACACTGCAGCCTCGGCGAGAACAACAGCATTTACAAACATTGTCCTCGCCCGGGAGGAGGCGTGTGGGACATCTCTCGGGCTAGGTAGAACTGATGTAGTGGACACGTACAATAACTAGTTCGTGGCCGATGGCTAACAGTGCAACAGCAACTCAACGAGGATAGATCGCGAAACATTCCGGTACCATCAAACTCCACGGCAACAGTCACATATAGGTTGTATTGCACAGAGTCTCGGCCATTAGACCTCACAACCATCTGGAAAGTGCATAAAATTCACAATTTATTTCTGTACTCTTAGTATATATGCATGGGATAATCCGAGACACTTGCGACCTTCTCTACCAAAAGACACTGCTATGTACAGCTGTAGCCAAGGGACAAAAAGTTGAAGGCGTCAAGAGTTCTGATACTGTTCTCTAGAACCAGAGGCACTGCTAGTCAATCCTCGCTGTGAAGAAGCTGACTCAAACAACCCGCACTACTTCTCCTCTGCTGGAATATTTAAACAAACTCCAAACTTCAAGATGAAAAGGGTCGAGTGCCCGTGATTCCACCTTCCAGAGCAGTAAGCGGGTGACTCGGGTCCTTAAAGGACCCGTACTCTCTCATTAGATGAGCAGAGGTTGTCACCCGAACTAATTCTTGGAAACTCACTACTAAAGTGAGCTTCCAGGTTACCAGTTGCTCGCATAACTTTTTGCGATCAAAAAACTGCCGGCATTACGCATGACCAGATGATCCACAAAAAGTGCAGCGCGCAGCAGTCAAACACATCTACAATAAGTTTCCAGAAAAGGCTGGCCAGAGGACATAATCTTCCTGCTCGTTACAAAATTCGACTACATCCTATGGTCACATCCCTTGCACATCGGGCGTGCATTCTTGGATACTTGTATGATCATCATCATCATCGCCACCTACGCTATTGCATCCAACCTAGGTTCGTGGAAGATGCCTCTAATGATGCGCCCCGTTCCACAAACATCCGTCCTGGAAAAACTCTGCAGCTTTTGCCACGACTTCTTGGAGAGGTCGTACACCAGCAGCTTGCAGCGACCTCTCACGTCGTAGAGGTTGTAAGTAAACAGCAAGACGAAACGACCGGCCTGACACCAATCCAGTATGACGTCGTCTCGCTCGTTGCATTGGAAGTAGTCCTTATCTCCGAAGAAACCCTCGAAGAGCTTCGCAGGCAGTCGGTCGACCTCCTTCCATTTCAAGCTCCCATTTTGGAGCTCCCATATGCAGATGCTCTGGATCTTGTGGTCCTCCTCCAGTTCGCCCACCATCATGATTCGCCCTTGCCATTCCAGAAGCTCTCCGTGCCTCACAGTGGACGGTAGGGGCACTTGTAAATCGCTCCACATGCCCTGGTCCATGTCGTAGGCTAACAGGATGTTCCGCTGCCCGTGGCTGCGCGCATAGAGAGTTCCATTGGAGTACACAGGCTTGCCCTTCAGCGTGTGCGTGGCCGGGATGTTTCCTGTGGTGGTCCAACACTGCGTCTGAGAGTCATACACCTCTGCCGTGTTGTTCATCCTCATCCCGTGTTCGTATTTGGAGCCCCCGGCCACCACTACTTTGTAAGACTTGGTGACGCGGTCCACCACCATGGCTAACATGGTGACCTTGGACGGAACCTTGAGCAGAGGCGGCAATCTGCGGCAAGACTTGGTCAGAGGATTGCAAACGACCACGCTCTTCGATCCGTTCTCGTACGAGAAGTAGCAAACGAGGCCTCCGTCGGAGGCCGAGAATGAATTGGTGTTGCTGTGCGGAGGAGAGAGGGGGATTCTGTGCCACTTGTTCAGCGAGGAGTCGTAAGTGGACACATGGTTCCTCTCATCGTGGGTGAAGAAGAAAAACCACGGCCCCTGAGAAGGGGTGTCGGCGTAGGCCTCCAAAAAGCTCCGCGAAAACATATGCGTATTCCAGTTTTTGCAAACCAACCGGAAACGGAAGAAGGACTGGATGGGGAGGCGGGCGAGGATGCTGTCGAGAAGATGGTCCGGCAGAGTGCTCCACATGGAAGGAGACATCGCCTCCTTTTGAGAGGTTGAAGCCGGGCTCTGATCGAAACTCTCCATCTCCTCCTCTTCTTCTTCGACGCCCCTCAACTCAGGCGGCCCCCTTTCTCCCCAAAACATCTGCCCGGTTGCTTCGCGGGCGCAACCCTCAGACATGGCCATGCCCGCCGTCGTGTCGAGAAATGAGAACGGGCCGTGCGTGAGCATCGTCCTTCTCTGCGGTTTCCGCCTCTTTCTGATATTCCCCAACCTCTTCTCCCCACACCCTCCTTGCACCGACGACTGCATTCTCGCCGTCTCTCGTACTCTCCAGCGCTAAGGCACCACCAGCGCTTCTCGAGTCTCTTCCTTCTTCTCTCTTCCTTCCTTCCTTCTTAAGTCCTTCGCTCCCTCCCGACGCTTTCGTTTCCGCCGCTCCTATGTTCTATTCCAGCACGCCGCCACCGCTCCGATGTTCTTCCTTCCACATGTCAAGCCTCGTTCACCGCTCCGCTCGCTCGGCCCTGTCCACTCTTGTACCCTACCTCCGAATACTGCAAAACCTACCGAAGAACTCTCGGCCTGGCCTGATCCTGCACCGTCCTCCTTCCTGGGGAGCGAAAAGCGCGCAGGCGGTGGGGAACCGAGAGCGGCGAGCGAGCAGACCTAGAAAGCGAGACCTCGGCCCTCGGCCCTGCCACCCAAATCCGACCACGGCCCTCGGTCAAGAAAACAACCCGCGCAATTGCGCCCGCGCCTCTTCGACCAATCGCTGCTGGAAGCCTCCAAGCCTCCAAGCCTCGAAAGCCTCGAAAGCCTAAAACTGTCGAGAGAGCACCACTACTCTCCGAGATGGTGCCGACTCGAGTCTTGTCCCAACGCGAGTCACTCAAATTCTCCCTTGCATCCTAGTACCTCCCTTCGCAGGTACCAGCCGCGCCGAACCCTCGATCCGGCCGATTCCCCGGACGAAAGCGGGCGATTGCTCGTCAAGCCAGCCACCCAAACGCAGAAGCATCGATCACTCGGAAGAATGAATGCTTCCCGCTACGCACTCCGGACGTTCCAAGCGCGCGGGCAAGTGACGAGCGAGCGAGAGAGAGAGAGAGAGAGAGGAGCGCGCACGAGAGAGTGAGCGTCGGACAGAGAGAGAAACAGAGAACAAATGCGGGGGGCTGGGGGGAAGAGTGAGACTAAAGGGAGTACGAGGGAGGGGAGGGGGGGTGGGGTGGGGGCACTCGGGGACGGCGAAGATGAGAAAAATAGCAAATGGTGGAGGGGGAGGGGGGTGGGGAGCGAAAAGCACCAGCAGCAGGTGGACAGTGCAGACGAGGCGATATGACCTAGAGACGAGCGCGGATGCAGCGCGCCCTTGGCTTACTATGTCATGCGATGACCATCGTACCCATGCCATGCTAGTCCATGTGCCATCCCGCACGCCCGAGGGTGGACTACTCCGGAGAACGAAAACCTCTCGCCTACGCTTCATATGGCCATTAGACTTTAATTCCGCCGAGGTACACTCGAGCATTTCCAGATCTTCTTCAGTCCAGATGCTCCAAACATACCACCGAACATTTAACAGAAATTCAATTATTATTACGTCGGGATACTGCTAAGAACGCATCACAACTTAGCTGCTGTCTTGTAGCGGATAGAGGGAGTGTACAGGAGAATACTTCTTTCAGGGGTCGCAGTCTCCCTCTCCGCCAGAAGACTTGGGTATACACGCCCATTACGCGTATATTTTAGTCGCACCAATCAACTTCATCTCTACACTTGCGTAAGTTCCTTCGCCTTTCTTACCCTTGGTCGTGATTGTCACTCTCGCGAGAGCAGCTCTTGAAGTTGTCAAAGTGGTTTGTGACTTTGGTGAGTGGCGTGAGTTACTAGAATTATGCTACAGCTCTTCGGGTGATGGACAGTCTGATCAAATGATTTAGCCGAATCTGGTTTGGTATACTTGTTGACGTTAGGATTTCAAAACGAAGACCCAATTCGCCACGTTATGAACACCAGAGCAGGTCTTGTGTATTGAAATAGAAAAATATTTAACTAGGTTAAGTATGCCATAAGTATTCAAAACCGTGCAGACTTGGGTTTTCGAATGTGGATTTAATGTTATTCTCATTTCCAGTTATGACACACAGACAAGCTCTAAAACTTACTTTCATTCAAAATGAAGAGACCTACATTCCAAGTTATCAGTTATGCATGTCGTGTGTCATACCTGATTTAGACAAGAAAAGTTTGTCATGATTGGCATAGAATTATTGATCAAAGAAAACTGCACCGTTTATTCATTAGAATTTCTATTAGGCAGAACACCATATGACTTAACTTGACTTTTATTTTTTATACAGAAGTAAGTAAATAAATAAATATCAAAACTTTGCATGATATATATATATATATATTGTTAGGATAACTCTTAGGTCTTGGCTAACTCTAGTTAGCCTAACCTTAGTTAGTGACTAGCTTAGGTTTGCATTGCTTGCTATATAGGTGAGCCTGTGTGAGCTCACTAGCTGAGAGATAGAACACTCATTGTGTATGAGTGCTCCAAGGATAACGTGAGAGCTTGGAGAGCAGACACTCGGTACGGCTATGGCTTAGAGTCTTAGTAAAGTTCTCATTGTTCCCGTGGACGTAACCTCAGTGTAGGTGAACCACGTAATCTTTTGGTGTCGACTTCTCTCGTGTGTGTATGTCGTCTATGTATAACAAATGGTATCAAAGCCCACTTGGGAGTAGACGGGTTTGTGAGTGCTCGTGCGAGCAGTAGTTGACGATTTGAAATTTTCTTGGAGTTTCGTGGCGTGGATATGGGAAAATCTTGGATAATCGAAAAGCTTAAATCGAAGGCGTTCTAACGGTACTTGAATAAGATCAATCTGAGTTCGGAGCGCGGAGTAACTGAGATTAGGGTTTTTTTGACTGTTTCATGGTCGAATGTTTCAAGATTTTACCAACAGTTTTTTTGTGAAATTTTTGAAATTGATTTCTTGATTTCGGGTGAGTCACGGTGTGTGTGAACCTGCAAGGTTGTGTGAAAAATGTAGATCAGGGCAAGCCGGTCGCATTGGCTCAAGATTAGTCGAGTTTTGACTTGCGGGTGGAAAGTTACGTGCCGAAAACAATTTCTGGAGTTTTTGCCGGCTATGGACATTCAGGGCCGGACTCAAACTCATTTTTTATTGTAGCCTTTGGTTGGTGAAAAAAAGTGGGACGAAAAGTAGAGCAACGAAGACATCAAGCCGGCGCGGTCGATTTACAACCGAAATTGCGGTCTACAGTGAACAAGGGAGCGAGATGCGAGTCAAGGTACTTTTTCTGACGGGCCTGAAATCCCTAACAGCCGTGTCGTAGTGACGGAAGAGCAAATTCAAAAACATTCTCAAAGTTCATGTTCCGTCTTTGTGGTTGAAAACGCGGTTTTAAAGATTAAGTTGAAGTGTAAACTTAAAGTTAAAACACTTAAATTTTTCTTTGGAAAAAATTCGATTCCTCCCCCTCCCCTCTTCCACTTCGTTCTACTTTCCCTTGTAGTTTTTTTTTCCCAAAAATTACAAGGGAAAATCCCCAAATTTTGACCCTGGCCCTGTCGGGGCTCTGTGACAGGGTCTGTCTCCCTGTGCGACAAGGCCTTACGCAACCTGTCACGGAATCTTTCAAAAAGATTCCAAAAGCAGAACGTCATATTCTGGTCATTGACGGTGGATTCGGAGGGGCAAACGGTGCACGTTTTCGGCCAAAAAAAAATTTTGCGCATTTGTGATAAAGTTAGCTACGCAGACGTTCCAGCCATCTCCGAAGGTTGGTTTTGCAAATTGTTTGAAGTTTTGGAAAGTTTATCTTGTGAGCTATGTTCAAGTTGTCCTGAATTTTCTCCTGGGGTTCATTCTTTAGAGTAATTTTTCAAATTTACTCGTATACATCAAGGGGGAAAGAGTTTTGAGAACCATATTGGCATTGAAATAGCACTGTAGTAAGTCCAAGAGATCAAGCGATGCATCATGGGGACAATGAAAGTCGGTGTCACCAAGTTTGAAATTGCCAAGTATGATGGACGTACAAACCACTTCTTGTGGGAACGAAAAGTGAATAGCATGTTGAAAGCTACCGGTATTGGTAAGCTTTTGAAGACGAAGCCAGAAGATGTGCCTGAAGAAGACTGGAACAACATGCAAGAGATGGCGGTGAATAAAGTCATGCTCTATCTACAACCTCATGTGATACGGCAGCTTGAACAGTATGGGGATTGTTTGTCGTTGTTTGAGGCTCTCCAGCGGAAGTACCATCAAAAGGAGTTGTCCAATCGACTCTACACATCTTTGAAGCTGATGAGTTTCAAGATGAAGGATGGTAATACCAAGGAACAAGATCATATTGATGCTTTCAATGATCCTGTGTTGGATTTACAAAACCTTGGTGATGAGTTAAGTGACGAGAGTAAGTCTCTTCACCTCTTGAATTCAATACCTTCTTCATACAAGAATCTATCTCAAGTACTTCTACATCGAGATAGAAGTACCATCACCTACAATGAGGTGGTGAGTGCGTTGAAGACAGATGAGCTTCAACAAAAGATGATGCAGTAGAGTTTATCCTCTGCATCGTCCGGAGTGGTACTGAATGTGAACCGAGATAGGTCACAGAAGCGGACGACGAGTGGAGACAAGCAAAAATTCAGATCGAAGTCTTGAAGGAAGTCTCAAGACAAAAAGACCTTGCTATTTTGGAAGTGTGGCAAGGCTGGCCACATGAAGAAGGATTGTCGTGGAAAGGCAAGTGATTCATCCTCTGCAAATGCAAATGTTGCAAGTGCTGATCTTGAGGATGATTTGCTTAATGATGATTATGCTTTATGATGCCAGAAGTATGCCCTCTACACATTATCTGAAAAAAGAGATGATAAATGGATTCTTTAGAGTGTTTGTTCATACCATACATGTCACAATAGAGATTACTTTAGTTCTTATCTTGCATTGAACGGTACAATTTTGATGGGAAATGATCACCCCTGTCAAGTCATCGGTATTGGATCTGTTAGGATTAAGATGTTAGATGGAGTAGTTCGCACATTGACGAATGTGAGATATATTCTTGAGATGAAAAAGAACTTGATTTCTCTTGGTGTATTGGACAGTAATGGTCATTGGTGATCGGTAGTTGATGGTGTACTTCAAGTCAAAGCTAGAGATAAAGTTGTCTTGAAAGGGAACAAGTATAGGAATCTATATGTGTTAGAGGGTAATAATGTGTGCGAAGAAGTCAATGTCACTAGATCTCGACCTGAGATGTCTCAAATTTGGCATTCCAGGATGGGCCATATGAATGACAAGTATTTGATTTTGCTTCGAGAAAAGGATCTGTTATCTGGTTTGGGTAATATTGATTTAGATTTCTGTGAGCATTGTTTTATGGGAAAGCACCATAGAAAGCCTTTTGGTGTTGGAATACCTAGCTCCAAGGTGATTCTTGAATATGTACAGAGTGACGTGTGGGGTTACTCTCCATTAGCCTCACTATCTGGCAAGTGGTACTATGTAGTTTTCAAGTGGTACTATGTAGTTTTGTAGTTTTTTCGATGACTATTCAAGATTTTTTTGGGTTTATTTTCTCAAGGAAAAGTCTGAAATCTTTGCAACTTTCAAAAGTTGGAGAGCTCAAGTTGAGACTCATACAGTGTAGAAGGAGAAAGCCTTGAATGTGCGGGTGAGATATTTGCGTTCGGACAATGGCGGGAAGTATATCTCCAAGGAATTTGGAGAATACTGCAAAGCATAGGATATTACTCGCCATCTCACCACGGTTTATACTTCTCAACGGAATGCTGTTTGTGAGCGGCTTAATCGAACAATGTTGGAAAAGG